GTTGCTGCTGAAAAATGTTGATTTTAGCAATAGACAAAGGTTGAAAGTCAGCTAGTGAAATCATTTACTTGCGATATATAATTGTATATTAAAGTGAGAGCGTCGAACGCACTCTCATAATCTCTGATTACTACTAGTTTAAATAGTTTCATGCAAACCTTGCTTTGCAATCAGAACACAAATTAAAAAAGAATATAAATGAGTGCATGCTCCCACACATCAGAAGACTTCTGGTTTAAAGGTCTGATCGTGAATGCCATAATTTCCCGGAGACAAGATAGAATCAACTCTTTCGAGTGGAACCGTGAAATGTCCTTTTTCCTGTGAGCTTCTCACTGTTCGTATCCATACAGTTCTAGCCTCATTGCTATACATTTAAACCAACTTTTTGGCCTTATACGGATCCAGTCCACTGCTTGGAGAGGAGCTGAGAACGTTTTTGTCACCGTTGTATTTCTATCTGTATTCGCTTGGTATTCCTGAAAATGATCCAAATTTGACAGCGTTACTATGGAGATTGGGATGAGGGGGTTTACTGGGAGCTCGTGAAGATTATTGAAGTGCAGATCTAACTATGATCTAAGACATTTCTCGTTATTTAATAGTGAGAATTTTCCTTGGAAACAATAAAAAATTTCCCAGATTAGGGTCTGCAGGTTAAAGCTACCCAACCCAAAACCTGAAAATATGAAAAAGTATCATAAGTTATACAGTTCCAAAATACTAAATCATGTTTTTTTTAAGTCTTAAACAGAGAACCGAAGATTATAATAAAACTCAAGGTTAGATAGAAATAATCATCTAACCAGGAAAATTAACGCAAAAAAAGTAACATGACGTTTCGACGACTTCGATGTCATCATTGTCGAGTGAAATCTTTGAAATGCTGTTGATTAAGAACAAAAGACCGAAACTGAACACGCAAGCGGATTCCAATGATTCGCGCGAAACTTTTTACACGAATGTTTTCATGTAAAGTTTGCTAATTTTATTTTCTCGCATCCTAAATACTATAAATATGCCTTGCATGCCGTTATTTTTAATTCATTCATTCGACAATGATGACATGAAGGCGTCGAAACGTCATGTTACTTTTCTTACTTTGATTTTCCAGCTTAAATGTTTCTCGAAATCGTTTTTTATAGAATTAAGGGACCGTTCATTTTTTTATGAGGGAGGGGGG